TTATTATTATTATTATTATTATTATTATTATTTAAGTATTTTTAAACTTTCATCCACTTTAATTTTTTAAAAACTAAAAATTACTGATTATGAATGAAAATTTGCATTTAGATAATACACAAACTTACTTAAGGCATGTTTTCATGTGTCAACCCATATTCATTTAACCAAAATTGTTTCTGTTATATCATTTTCATGTTCTCAGCTCTTTTGGTTTGGTTATCTTTAACACAAACAACTTGCCAAATGTTTAAGCATCTTGGTCAAAGAAAGTAATAGGTTGTTGATAATGCCATTTGCTAATAAAAAACAAACAAAAACTATCTTCAAGAACCAACATAAACCTAAAGTGATGTAAAATATGGTCAAATAACCAGAATTTAGTCAGATACACAAAAACATGCTAATAGTAATTTAATAAGCATTAATGAAATAAATATTAAAAATGTGTAAGTTGTTCAGATTATTATTATTTCTGAGATTTCTACTTATTAGAGTGCTAATTTTTAAAACCATCCTTACAAAACATAATAGTTTGTTTGTTAGTTTAATGTAGAGCTGTCAGATTTTCAAAATGAAAACAGGACATGCATATTATAAAGACATGGAGATTAAATGTAACTAAATTTATTTTAACCCTTTCACTGTCAACAGGACACACGTCCCAGAGACTCATAAATTTTACCCAGCAGGACATATGTTTGAAAACTTTTGATATATCTTTTTCCCACTGGTTCTATTCTGAAGCAATGTTATATTCCCCAGTTCTATTCTAATGCTTTATATGATATACAAAGATTGAAGGATATCCAATTTGGTTAAAGTGTTACTTATTTCATATAAAACGATTTTGAAATTTTAATTTGTCATTTCTTTTGCCAAATACGGGATAAGGCATCCCACAAAATTTGCCAGGGCACCAAGACATTTCTTACAAGGGACAATACCATATATAAGGGACGTCCAGCAACCTCAGTTTAAGGGATACAACAACACAACACGCCAGAAATCTGCCACGGGGGATTCCTCACCGGAGGACTTTCTATGGCAACTGTTCTACGGGAAACCGGTCCCTATTTAGGCATCAGACATGTGAAGAAACACCAGAAAACTCTATATAGCCAGTTCATTGGTAGATGCAAATCTGCAACCAACTATCAGCATTCAGAAGATTCATCCACTCAGTCTCACACATACATAAACACAAATACACACAACAGAGAGAGAGAATGTTTATAATAATAATAATAATATGAATTTTTTATTTAATTTCTTACTAAAGTAGGAGGAAGTGATCCAACAGGTGATTTCAAGAGAATATATGTAAAATGATTGAGTTTATCCTTTGGAACATCTCTTCTATCTACAAGCATAATTAAAGATCCATAACTCTTTTTTAAATTTAATTAAATTATAAATATATATGTCAGATTTCAAATATAGAAGTAAACAGTAATTATTTTTAAATTGAAATCACCAATAACAGAAGGATACATTTTTCCCAAATTAATATATCTCCTTTAGAAGATATAATGGAAAGAATCGAAATCATAATTATTCATTTAACGTTTCGATATTTTTCTATGAAATTTAAGTTTCATGTTGATTCAATCTTTCTTTTCAATAATTTTCTATACCTTACAAAAACCACAATTAACTTCTGCTACACGTATCGTTACAGTGTTGCCAACTCATAATTAAATAAAGTTGGCAACATTGTAAAAATCTAATAATAAAATAGAAATGTAAAAGATAATAATAATAAAGTTAATTGAAAGTTAATTATAATTAATACTTAAATTGCTTTCAGAGGAAAAATACTGTTTCTAATTTAGACTTGGTACGGCTTTTTCCTATAATTCTTCTCGCCTCGCGGGCACTAACACTAGCCCATTTGGGTTCGACCATACCCGTAATGGGTGGCCGGGTAGTGAGAGAAAGGTCTGACATATCCGGATGGACAATTCCCGAAATACGGAATTTTTCGTGAATTGTTCCGAGGTTTTTCGATCCCGGGTCTCCAGAACGGTATCGCTCGGCTATCCGCTATCACTCAGCTAATCAGCGATACAGACAGCCGAACGGCATATCACTTTGGGAGATCCGGGATCGTATCCAGATAATCAATCTCCGAAATTTTTTTCTCTGGGATATATTAGACCCAGTCGTCTAGCGCGTGTCCACATTGTGGACCTGGCCGAACACAAAATAGAAATGGAAAAAGACCATCTTATAAGTTAGTATTCAACAAAAGAATAAAAAAAAAATCAGCGTCAGTTTCAAAAATTCTCTTGCTTCCGACACGGACATTCTTACTTCAACGTTTTATAATTCTAACATCATGCTGAACAATTGAGATTTGTAATGGTGTAAACGTAGAACGGCTATATATCAAAAAGATTAATGAGTCAACTTACTGCTATGGAAGAGCCGGATTTAATTTCGGGTCGAAAAACCTCAGGAAATTTTCGGGATGGTCCTTCCAGATATGTGTCCTTGTCCTCACTACGGCTAGGCCCACAATGGGACAGCTGAGTCCACAATGGGCTTGTTAAGAACTTCCGATTCAAGCCGGAAGTTATGTTATTTTAGTTCAAAATTTTTTCCATGAAAGATATTAGCTAGATGACCGGCACGACTCTTCTGCTAACGGAAAAGTATGATGTACAGGGGCAAGACATTACTCATCTGAAATGGAGAGCATATATTTTATATTAAATGATTTTAAAATATGATTAAACATTGCAGCCAGACATTGTGACAATTTCACAATAAACAATTGCTCGTTACATTTTAATTAATTTTGGAGGAGTGATCCATCTCTGCCTCTTAGTGACATAGGGTAGAGAAATTAAGAAAAAGCATCGTTCTGTTAAGAACTTGCAACTGTGAAGATATGATTGCGATCTTATCCAAAAGCTCGCTATGCAACATGGATAATTTGGATTGGGTCACTTTATTTTTTGCCATCCTAAGAGTACCATTCTATCCACTTTATTTCCGCCTTCTCTCTATAGATACCCATATCTCCAGCAATCATTACACATGGTTAACAATACAAAATATGCATAAATAATTAAAGCATCTTAACAACAACTGACCCCAATTGTCGGTTAGATTTTAATAGACTGATAGAAATACTGCCTCAGTCTACCGCCCTGGGGTATCCATAATCGAATTCTGGTGATCAATTCCAGAAATTTTTCAAGAACGGTATCTCGGATACGTTGGTTTGGCCTAGCCCACAATAGAGCAATCAGCTGTTTGCCCTATTGTGGGCCAGACCAAATCCATGACGGATATAAACAAAAAAAAACCTTTTAACCTTAAAGAATATTATGTTGTGTGTCATTTTTTTTAAATATAAACCCACGAAAGTTAAAAGAACTCATTTCTTAAAATTATCGGTAACTTTACTATCAGTTTCACGATAATATTCAAACATACATTGCGAAATAGAATGATAAACGCGAGATAAAGTTCAGTTTGCTTACCAGCGTACAAAAACTATGACCGATAATATAAAGCATATTTCGAATTTTTTTAATGCAGAAAAAATGTAAATTAAACAACCAATTTCTTTGAATAATTTTTCTAATTATGAAACAAACTTATATTTTCATTTGTGTTGTGTTCTTATAGCACTTATATTATGGAAACGATTAAATTATATAGGGGAGAGGCGGGGTTAACTGAATACACTGAATACATACGAAATGGCACTTTAAATAACTCCATACGCAAAAAATCAAAAGTAAATGCATAACTTTTAGCAAAACGACCACGTTCATCCTTGTTAACTGGACAAGGCAGCTTTAAAACAATGTCACGCTTGCTTATATTTGTCTCTTTTTCATCTGAAAATTGAAATTTGTTTGTTCTTCTTCAACCATTTGTCAGTGAAGTGCTCGTTCAAATGTGCAGTCACTATTTTTTTTTTTTTTTTAAATGTCGTGTTGTTGTTAGTTTTTCAAGAAACCTTTGTCAGAATAAAGTTATTCACACTATATTTGTTATCAGAGAGACTTGCTGCATCTTCATTATGATTGTCATTATCATTGATGAGATTCAAAGAGGAGTCATCCTCATAGGAAATATCTGTTTCACTCATTGGATCTTCATTTGACTCGCATTCTAGGACAAGCCTAATGTCGAGCATTCCTATCCTTTGTTTCCACTTGCACATTAGACTTACAAGTTAGCTATCTTCTTAGTACAAGCTTGAGCTTATTCTTCACCAGAGTGTCCGTGAAAACTCTGGACGATCCATAAAAAATAAAACTAAAAATAAAGCATAGAGCCTATAGATCAGTGAAAGCTTTTAGAAATGTTATGTAGGGTTGTATTATAGCAAATAATAGTATGCAATATCCACAAACCTTTCTGTTTTTTTTTTCTTTTTGGCCTTTTCTGGGTCCAGCTTTTGGCAAGGGGCAACTCTTCAAGAGTTACTGAGGTTCCTGATATGCTAGACTAATCTCTTTGAAGGACTTTCCATTTGTGCTGCAGCAGAGGCAAAGGTGGGGTTAATTGAACTGATCTGCTTATACCCAACCTCTCCTGGACCAGTTAACCCCACTAGAACTTTCCTGAAAGAAATATGTCCCAAAAATATTGATGTGTTTAACTCATATCAATTTTTAAATTGGTCTGTGGTAAGTTTTAAATGTGGCATACACATTCACATAAAAATGCATAATGTTTTTTTTTTGAGTTTTGAATTTTATCTTTGCATTTTTTTTGTAATCACATGCATTAAAATATACGAAATCATACACATAATTAATAAATAAGTGTATTCTATATATATTTAAATATTACATCATATTACTATTTCACCTATTTTGGCCATTTCCATTAAAATAGGTGAAATGGAGTTCAATGAATAAAAATTCTATTCAAGGCAATATTTTGATAATATTATATCAACATTTTTAAAATAAGTTAGAAATTTTCTTCTTCTTTTGCTTGTTTTCTAATAGCAGTAAAGACAAAAGAGTCCATTAAAGCACACCATAAAGGAATATTACATCTTTATGACATGCTTTAAAGCATGTTATAAAGATGTAATATTCCTTTAAAAAAAAGACCATCTTTACTCCTATTAGAAAATAAATAGAACTTTCTACTCATGGACCAGTCTAACAAGTGGGTGGAATCACCAGCCCTACATTATGTGCCTTTACCTAAGATCACCCTTCAGGTACCTGCTGAAAATGAGATCTAATAGACCTCAAATGAGCATACAACAGGCAAAAAACTAGCCATTACCATGATTTGATTCTCGCTTGATAGTCCAATGTCATACTGCTAGACCACAACAGACCCACTTACTTTCTAATACAATGCATAAAATATCAAAATTCAATAAATAAATCCAAATTAAAAATTGTAGAATATAAAGTAGGGGAAGCCTCACAGTTTTCCTTACCCATTTTTTGACAGAGCCCATCCATTTCTCCTTTGAGTGTTTTAATCGGACAAAAAATGTTTTGTACTGATCTTGAAACACTCTACGACTTTAAACTACACTACTCTCTTTCATAGGAACCATGATAGAATTTGGTACCAAAAGAAGGGAGGGTTGGAAGTGCATGGCAATTACACCATTAAACTGCACATTACAATTACCTATACTCAGTGGTGATATTCGAAATATTTAACAAAGGGTTCGCTAACAGAAAGTTTTTCCTTAACAATTTTTTTTTCGCTCAAATGGTGCATTAGCAACATTAGCCCAAAAAACTGACCTTAAGATACTTATATAAATAAAAAAGTTGCGTTCGCAAAATTAAGTCAGTTAAAATTTAACATTGTTTATGCCACAACTATATTTTTTTTATAAATAATAAAAAAGAGTGTTCAAAATGGTTTATTTTGTACATATTTTAATATTTTTCATTCAAAATATTTTATAAACATAAAAATTGGCTTTTTTTTAAATCAGAAAAAGTCATAGGGAAAGCAGTTACACAAGAAAAACTTTTTCTAAATCATTTATTTTATCGTTAGGTATTATTATAATAATAGACAGATGTCATCGTCTCTCGAAATACAATATCTTTCTTATTTCGCTGTCGATAGCTCGACACGTGTTCCGCAGCCATCTTGCATTTTCTCGCGCGCGTGGGATTGTGGGATCTCTCTTATGACTGGATCTAGTTTCGAGAACTCTCTCGAGTCGATTGCGATTGAACCTCGTTTCAATCTCGACTGAAACTAGGTTCAATCGCATGGTCGATGGAGATTGCACCAGGCGAACATAGTATAAGGCTCTAGTGTTACAGAGTATAATACGTATATTTTAATATATTTTTTAAAAGAAACAAAACCACTGAGAAACGTTACGTGTATTTAACAACGGGTTCGGAAAACTTTGAAAATGTTAACGACGGGTTCGGCCGAACCTGTGAGAACCCGCTGAATATCACCACTGCCTATACTCTCATGCATTTATGGTTAGCTAATATGTAACAGAAGCAAGAAGTTTAATGTTTTTTTGTCTTCACTTTGTATATTACTTTCATGCATTGCATCAGAAGGAAAAGATCATCTATGTTATTTTCATATATTAATATTTAGCTAACAGAAATTATATTCCAGGTGCGGCCAAACCTTGTCATGAAAGGAGCCACATACCACATATCAGAAATACATGAGAGCTTCATCCTGTATTGGAATGAGAATTTATATATAATCCTTATACTGTATATATATTAGGGGTAGGGTTCCAATATACAGGAACTTCATTAAGGATGTAGAAGAGCTGTACATTGTTTGCAAGTCACAGTTTAGCCCAGGCATGGCCAACGTACGGCCTGCGGGCTGGATCCGGCCCGTCTAATGAATTTATGTGGCCCGCGATCAATCTTTCAATATTAGCTACTCAAGTCTGAATAGCTCAATGAAAAATTCTGACGCCTAAAAATAAAAAAGTCAACTCGTACATTTAGAGTTAACCCTCCATTACAAATCTCGTAAGTACAGTGTAGAGTGTTGATAAAGCATGATAATGTGAAAAATGTATCTGTAATCTCTATCTACAATTTAGTCTCTATGGGGTGACACCACAATGAGATCTAGCACCACCTCAAAATCTTCCTATGGCAGCCTCTGGTTCAGCCCGTGGAAAAAGTTTTCTTTCCAATTTGGCCCGGGAGCAAAACCTGTTGGCCACCCCTGATTTAGCCACTGTGTTTACATTCTAACACTGAATACCCTAACAGTATCTTAAAGTAAAATGAACAGAATTTGGCAAAATTTATTTCAGTTTTTAATTAAAATTATTTACAGGCATTAGTTATACTGTACATATTTGTGTATCAGTTATATCAGTTATTTTGAAAATAGGTTTATAAAAATAAAATGTATATTCAGTGTAACTATAAATGAATCTGAGCCATTATGCAATGGCTTTCTTATTTAATTTTTGTATAATATTAATAGTAAAAAGTACTTTAGTGTAAAATATTAACACAATAATTAATTTTTTCTGTTTTTTTTTTTTTTTTACAAAATTTGCAGAAGAAAAAGACAAAATCTAAACTTTGGCTACAAAGCTGATTTTCAATCTTAAAATATAAACTTTAAGTTTAATAATTATATAAATTATTAATCGTTTTGTATATAAAAAAATTATAAATTATTTTCAAAATAACTGGTTGGCATTTTTTTCATTCATGATTTAAAAAATTCCACAAAAGTATAAAATTATCAATTTGGCAAATTTTATATTACACTGGAAATTAACTATTTATACAAGTAATTAATTGTTGGCAGAGTTGTCTGTACTGGATGTGGTCGCCCGATATCTTACGAATTTTAAGGCCAAGATCTTCGGGTTGCGGACCATTACACAAAACAAGTTCTATTTGTACTCCCATGGAATGTTCTACTGCTAAACCGTTTTTTGATTGTTGCAAGTTGATTGATAATCCGCACTGTTTAGGATCCAGTTTCTGTTGAATTTTCTGTAATATATCTGCTCCTTGCATAAAAGAATCAAGTTTGTTAGATAATAAAATATGAACACTATCACTGGGTATTCTCTGTAAATTATTAATAAATGTTCTTTCAGATGAATTTGAAATTAAAGAATTTGTTATTAATGGTATTTGAAAAGGTTCAGAATTTTGAGACAAATTAATTATGTGCTTTAATGAATTACTTTCCAAGTTATAATTTGGCATTGGGGATTTTGATATCTGAGAAACATTAAATAATGGAAAATCGTTTTTTGAAGGCACTTTATCTCTTTCCTGCACTGAATATTTAGACGGCTTTATCATGTATTCACCACCTGTTTGCTGTAAAGGAATTTTATACGAATCAAAACATTTTTCATCACTTTTCGTAGATTTCTTCACTTCTTCCGCTTGCTTATTTGCACATATCAAATTAATTGGTTCGTTCTGTTCATGAAACATGTTCGACTGATTATCTTCTATTATTTCTTCCATATCGACATCCTGATAAATAAATCTGTCGTCACGTTTTGATATATTAGATTTTTGATTTTCTAATTTAGATGGCCTGAAGGTATCTAAATGTGAAGCTATGTTCTTAGAATTATGATTTATTGAAAAGTTATAAGGCATCAGAGGGAATTTTTCTTCGAAGCCTTCTGTTAAAAGTTTGCTGCAATGATCTTGATTTGAATCCGATGATGAAATTTTACAGTCAGTCATGAAGGATGTGCTAAGGCCGATGGAAGATGATTGTGAATATTGATGCTGATTTGAAGAATTTGAAGACTGATTAACATTTATTGCATTCAGCTTTAACTGAAAAAGATTATAAAAAAATTAGTGAAATATATGATAAATTTTTCTACATTAATTTTAATTTATGTATATTAAATGAAATAAATATAAGTATTTTATTAAATTTATCTATACATCTTTAATGTCAGTTATAAGATTATTTTAGTTTAATAACATGTGTATACAAATTTATTAATACAATTGGCCTTGCAATTGTCTTTTAATTATATTTATTTTTAACATAATTACTATTATTATATTTTATCTAATCAGAATTACATCAAATAAGAATAATTTTTGTGACTTAAAAAAACTTATGACAATGATAGATATTGGCTTAAACAATACTGTATTGATATAAGTTTTAAACTGTTAGGTTTTTTTATAACTCTGAGGAGCCAACCTAGCAATTATGCCACTCTGAAATAGATAGTTATTTACCACCCTTTTTAAATATAAGCATAGTGTAAAACATAAAACACTTGGTTCAATTTATGCTTTTCAGGGAAGTTAAAATTAGTTTAGGTTTCCCTCTCCCATTTTCAGGTTAAAAACATGTTTATTGTTTTGATTTTCATGCCCTTTTCAAACAAAGAAAGATAAAATATTAATATTATTTTATTATTTGAAATTAAGAATGTTTCGTTATTATTTTTATTTTCTTTGGCCAATTTTTCCCTCTAGCAATCTGTATCCCTGGGCAGCCATTTGGATTAAATTTCAGGTCCCTGGAGCAGTAGGATGCCATCTTAACCCTTGGCCATGTGGTCATTTAGCAGTTAGTTTACAAAAATAATTTATGTATATAAAAATAAATATAAGAATTATTTCATCATTATTCAAAATCTTAACATTTAAAATTTTACTCTTTAATTAATTTATATTAAAATTTTCAGATAAGTAAATAGTGGCTTAATCGTTAAGATATCAAAAACAAAATTCTCTCTTTTATACTTTATTAAATAGTTTAAATTACTGGAAGATCATTTATTATTCATTTTTTAAATCTGCTTATGAATTATATAAATTGTATATAATTTATTCAAAGATAACAGTATATGTGTACACAAAAGTATATATATCAATGACCTTGGCCTGCTATTATCTGTGATACAGACTTCAAAACAAATTGATTATTGTAGAATGATGAACTAATAAACATTACATAAAAAATAATTTTTAATTAATGATAAATTATTATTTATTGCTTAGTAATAATAACACCAATTTAAGAAGCATAACAAAATAAACAGCATGTACAGTTTAGTTATGATGGAATGTAATGAACTACATTCTGTTGTTATCAAAGTGTTGAGTATCTTTCATGTCACTTGAAAAGTAGTCAGTTGAACTGACAATACATACATACTATATTATATAATAAAGTATAATATAAATAAGTTAACTAAGTTTTGTTTGATAAGTATTAAATTATGCAGTTCAAATTTTATGTATGATAATAACTAATGTAAAAAAATGTGTTTCAGAAAAAAATTAATCATTTAAATAATTAATTTTCTTGATTATAACTTATATAAAATAAAATTACAAAATTATTTATAAACTACAGTACTACTACTCAGACCTTTAACATGCAGTACAATTTTAATTCTCAAATGTTTTCAGTCATCTTAAATGACCTTCAAGACAGAAAGAAACCAATTTCAATTTTAAATGATGGATATTGTAGCCTTCATTCTTCTTTCTAATGACTGAAAACGTTTGAGAATTAAAATTGTATTGCATGTTAAAGATCTTAGTATTAGTAATGTGGTTTATTACAAGTGCAATTTTCAGAGAAGTGTATTTATAAAGTAAATTAATATCCAAAAAACAAATTTTGACAAAAGAAAAAATATTTACTATAAAAATACAATGCAATCTCAGCATGAATAATAAAGCCTTATCTCATTCATCTTTGTATCTTTAGTATTCTTGTATTTACTGTATAACAATATTCCCCAGCAATTATCTAACTTGTAAGTTTATATCATACTATAATGTCATTGATTATGTAATTTCACAATTTTATATAACTAGTCAAAAATTTTAGTTTCCTGCTCTTTTTATCATTTAATCAACTTTGATATTTATTGTGATATTTGAAGGTACGTAAGTCCAATCTTCATGTTAAATGAGATTTTTAATACATAAATTAATTATAACAGATAAATATCACTTTTTTATTCATAGAATATCCAATCATGAAGTCTACATTATTTATTATTTCTTTGTCAAAGCATTTAAATTTCTGCAATTCTTACTTTTTAGATAATTGAACTTTATTATTTGAATTTGTATTCTAATTAAATATCCCAAGTATTTTATATAACATATATACACATATTAAGGAAAGTTACTTTGAAATCATTATCATTTATATTATTATGATATTTATTTTATATTCTTGTAATTTATTTTTTAATTACATTTGTCTACATTTTCTTTAGAGTTATCACCAAGTAATTTGCTACTAAAGGTAGATATTAAGTGCCATCACTTAACTAAATTAATAATTACAATTTTTAATAATTTATTAAATAATTTAGTATAATCCTGTAAACCTGGAAGAACAGAACTGATCCAGATGGGTTCAAGCCCAGCCTAGGTCAGTTCTTTTCTTCCAGATTGTTCTAAATTATTTAATAAATTATTAAGAGTTATCACCAATAATTCAAGATAAAGAGATTGTTATTATAAGCATATGGTAATAGTAAATATATAATAAAGAGAAATTATATGTGCATTAACTGAATCTGTTTTTTTTTTTTTAAATTTAAATTTGGCTTTTTGTAGAAAATTTAAAAGAGTAAAACATTGTTCCTGAAATTAAAATCTATATTTTCAAAATTTTATAAATTATAGAACAAAAGTTTGTTTTACTGTATTCTTCACAATTCTTTTGCCTGAAGACAATGAATATGCATCATCAACAGTACTACTTTAAAAATTTAATAAAATCCTTTTAAGTTTATCACAGTAAGACAGTTTCTTATTTATTTATTTCTACTCATTTATTACAATTTATATCTAATTTTTCTATCATGTTAAATTTTAAAATACTTCACTAAACATTTAAATTTATATTTTGTTACTAACCTGCAATTCTTGGTATTCTTGTAAAACAGTTTTAACAGAATCGTCATTATGATTTGACATTAAACATTGATTATATATGCGATCTACTGGACTGTGAAATGAATAGGAAGACCCTCCATCGCTAATCCTTCTCACTGGAGAAAACCGACCTGACAAATGACTTTTGATATCTTTGAAACATTCTCTTCCTATATAAAACAAAATTAATAATCTTAACACTTAAACAAAAACAACAAAATTAATAAAAAGATTTCAAATAAATTCACCTGGATGTTTTTCCATAACTGTTAAAAGACCTGTTCTTCTTTGTTTTTTTGGCTGTTGCTTTTTCCATTGCAAATCCTTATTCTCATTATTGGAATTTACAGGAACAGATTGTTGGAATGACCAAGGAGAATGTTGCCTATAATTATTTCAATTAACATTAATATCTAAAGCTTTAAAATTTAAAAAAGTAAAGGTAATTTTAAATTTTATTTATATTTAGGAATCTGTGATTTGTTTAATTAAACATTAAAAAAAATAAATAAAAATTATAAAATGACAAAATTTCACATATACCTTTATATTTGTGTTATTGTTATTCTAATAGCAATTGTCTTTAAATGAATATACAATATCCCTTCAATTGAACAGTAAATCACAGATTTAATAGCACTAATTTTTTTCCAGACTGAAGTTTATAATAATAAGTGTATTAAATCTGCTCAGGTTAAATTTTTCATGTTCTTTGTAAGCCCAAAAATCTAGTGAAATACTGATCATTTATGAAAAATATAAAGTAAACAAATGTATTCTATTGGGAGGAAGATATTGAAGATGGAAGCTGAGGAAAATGTCTCTCAACTTACATTCCATTAAAAAAGCCAACTTTGAAGAAGCTTGGTGTAATCAAATGACTATCTTCCTCTACTTCTTACTCAGCATAGCCACGTTTACAAGCACTATCTTCTAATAACTAGATACGAATATACAGTTCTCAGAAGATATTGCTTGTAAACATAGCTATGATGGCTAAAAAAAAATAAGCCAGCACAGCAAATTATGATGCAAATTAAAAATCAGGAGAGAGTAAAAGAAATAATTTAGTATGCTTTGCATCTGGTTCTAAACGAAGCAGCACTGGTTTCTTATACATTATAAAATAATGTGATGATGAAAAGACTTCATGTCAAAAGCAAAACTGTTGCCTACTTGAGTGAGACATAAAGATAACAAAACACTACCCGATCCTAACCGAAAATGTACAAACTGATGTGTAGAAATCTATATCATTAATTTCTACTTAATCTCAATTAAGTGAACAACACATTACTGTGCATGTGCTTGTCTACAACAGCATACATCATCAATATATGATGTTATGTTACCCTCATAAGCTAAGAATTATTCTTTTAATGGGTGTTCACCGAGTGCTTGATAAGTGCTGGGTTCTGAGCCAACTAATCTGTTAGAAAAGTGTGCTCGGTTTCTGATAAAACTAGTTTTTGAATGTATCGTTTGGTCTGACAAAGTTAGATTCTTGGAAAACTTTTATGCATTACTTTGTACTATCACTGCATTAATTAATCAATTACTGTGAGAAAAATCATGTAACATTAACACATGGTAGCAATTTTCATGAAAATTTCATAAAATTTTCCCTATTTTCCAAATATATGAAAATTCCAAGTTTTTCATAGTTGCTGCAAACCTTGGAAAAGACTCAAATGCACACTTCCAAACACAGAAGTGTGCATTGAGTATTTCCAAACATTTAAGAATTTTATCAATAAAGCATAATTTATCAAAGTATTATAATTTTTCCATAGTAGTAAAGCATTTAATTTTAGAGGAATATAGATTATTATAAAAAGCAAAAGAAAATTGTCTATAAAAAAATATATGAATGAATATAAATTCTATTTTACAAGCTATGTGATATATTTTATCGATTCATTATTATTAAACTTACTTCACTACAAACTGTTTATTTGCTTCATTAAAATCATCTTTACCAATATTTTTCAATTCTTGTGGAAGATTTGTATTTAAAGCTGTTATCTAATTAAAATAAAAAAAATTATTTATATTTATATTAAATTATGAATGACTATAATAATAAAATAAATATAGATAAAATTTTAGTTTAATCTTTATTTATATCAAAAATAAATAATTTAATTCATTTTTATTAACTAATTTGTCTAATATATTCATATGATAGATATAATCATAAAAAAATCACTAACTATATTTATGACATTTAGCTTTTTATAAACCATCTGCAGATTATAATTGAAAATCTTATCTAATTAATTAATTTTAACTTATAGTATTCATTTATAATACAAACACACACACATGCCCCAGATAATAATCTTCGGGGCTCCAAAAATGAGTCCATAAAATTAAAAGCCCATAGAATTTTTGTAATTAATGTTGAATCAGGGGCACCAGGTATGAAGTTTGTCCCAGGCACCAAAACACATGTTCAGTATGGCTCTACATATATATATATAATATATGTATAATGTATAGTAGAGTATATTACACATGTATATATGTAAATATTAGTTAATTAATATGAAGTTTTGCACAAATGTTTTATTTGTTCTTATTTTAGAACAGGGATGGGCAAGCAAGAGTTCAGTGGGAGCCAAAATGTAGGTTTTGCAAAATGCATGGGAGCCGCAGTTCTGTACTTTTTTATTCTGTACCGCAGTTCTGTACCACGATTTTATTATATTGATATAATATAAATATGATATAAAACAAATATTGAATTTTTTAATAAGCATATTTTCACAAAATTATGGAAATAAAATTGTAAAAATAATAATAAAAAGCAGAAATTAACACTTTCAGCAAGAGCTGCATGTAACTCAAAAAGAGCTGCATTTGCCCATGTCTGTTATAGAATATTCACATTTAAACATATTTGAAAATGCAATTGATACGCTAAGATTATGTTCACTTCTAATCTAAGAATGATTTGTAAAAAGCTAAAAATTTTAGTTAATTAATTAAAAAGATCTTACATGAATATTATAAAAATTATATATCAATTTATAATTTATATTTTTAACAAAAAGAAATTTAATTTTGTTTTAAGAGTACAAAAAAAAATAATATTTCGATTATTATTAAATTAATTAAAATATGAATAATAACATAAAATTTAGTATAATTCAGAATGAAGATATTTTAAGTCTCAGTTTACAGATGCAATTGTCAATTATGTATCAAAAATTTGTTCTTAATAAATAAAAATATGGTATATATTTAGAGCATTTCCTTTTGGTTCAAGAACTTTTTAAATTAAAATTTCATAACATTCATCATGTTTAAAAAACTTAATTTAGATGTATTAAATAAATAAATATATATAATATGCTAATATATACTAATCAATATAAAATTGACTTATTTAAACTATTGTAAATGTAATTATAAACTGTCAAAAAAAATAGACTCCATATAATCAATTGAATTCATTTCCTCAATGATAATGTCAATTTATAAAATTATCATCAAATTCAAGTTTGCTTTTAAATTGATTACAGATTGTACGCTGATATAATCAAGGCCATTGAGAGAAAAACTAAGCTTCAATTTAATGTTCTACATAGTTCAGAATTCTGACAGTTCATCTATATATATAATTGAGAAATGGACCTGCCAAAATTGCAGAAATTATTTTGCATTATTTAAGTGATAAAATTTAGATTTATTTTAACACTGTCAAAATTATAACATTTGTAAAGATGGTTGAAATTTATTATTGCTTTACTCTCTCTTCATTCTTTTGCACTTTGATAATGCCCTGCTGCCCCACTTTGCAGCTTCAGAGACATAACTAAGAAACTGTCTGATAGAATTACCATAGTATGATAACTTCTGATTTCAGTTTTAATTAATTTCAGAACAGAAATAAGCATAAATGCTATAAAATCAACACTTTGGTAAAATTTCTAATTTTTCAAGAATTCCAATAATTTCAAAAATTATTTATTTTTATTTTTTCAGCTAAAAATAAGGAAAATTCTGAAAATCAAGATAATTCCATTTTAAGATCCAAAAATTTATGATTTACTGCAGCATTGTTATTTAAGAGTTCAAGATCAGGTTTTGTAGAATTAAAATCATAAAAATGTCATTGAATTTCACTAGACTTTATTGAAATCACTATTTAAAATAACAGAATCAGTTTAATCATCCTCATTTTCTTTATTAAAAATGAACTATAAGTCTTTCAAAGCATTTTCAAGCAGTTCCAATTGTTTTCTACTTGATAAACACTTAAATTGTTTAAGTCAGTGATGGGCAAACTTTTTAAAGAGCGGGCCAAAGGAAAAGAAGAAAACTTTAGGTGGGCCAATATAATTGTAACCTAGCGCTGCATCTGAAAATCCAGGTGGCGCTATAAAAACATGTGCAGGCCATCCGCCATATTTCTTTTTCTCTCTTTCGGCTACGTGTAAAACAAAATTTTGTACATGATTGTAAATAAACTTTCATGGTGAGATATAAAGCTTCGGTTATTTTATATAATCAACGAACACTCAAGTTAAGTGGTGCATCAACCACCACAGCCTGTATTCTTTTTTACTCGTCAGATTAGGAATAATGTCGCGCGGGCCGGATAGAACATTTCAGGGGGCCGCATCTGGCCCGCGGGCCGTAGTTTGCCCATCACTG